CCGAGAAAAAAGTTCCAGGCTCAAAAACACATTGTCAACCAATTTTTCGTTGATCTCTTTATCCTTCTTTTCATCCTATCCACGCACCATTTTGAAACGGTTTTTCCAGAAGGAACTAGCTAGCGCGGTTTTCAGTCATTTTGTATTTCAATGAAATAGTCAAAATGATGCGTAAATCATTTTCTGGAGCTTTTTTATGTGGATTTTTATGTACAAGACTACTTTAGAGACTACTTTTTTTGTTGAGTCCCACAAACACAGAGCCAGATTTCACTGTTACGCAATTTCCCTTCCCCCACCTCCTGCTCCTTGCGTTCACAGCATGATTAACGACATTTCACTGTGCTCTTGCAAAAGTTCCATGCATGCAGACTGTTTATGCTAATTGAAATCGGATTGATGGCTGTCAGAAATTAAGGCCAGACTGGCTGGCACATTTGATTTTTAAGGAAATACAGCCCAGCTAAGAGCCGCAGAAATTTACAAGTGGAATAATTCCGCTATGCCGAACATGAAATATGTTTGGGAAGGCTTCTCTACTCATTTGTGCACAATTCCGATCCTCGTTGCAAGAATAGTGTCTTTCTCCAAATATGTGAGGCAGAAAGAAAAGCGCAAGCTCACTTATACAATAATTTAGGTAAAGATCCATCTAATGGTATGTTCAAGCAATCAAAATCAGCTGAATGTAAACAACACCTTCGGGAAAAATTTATCGAAGAAATCTTCATCCTCGGCTGGTGGCTTTGGAGCTTCTTCAATTTTGCGACGTTTAGACTGGGCTTTTTTACGAGGCTCTGGGGGCGGCTGCAACGCGCGAAGATGTTCTCGCAGCAACTAAAAAAAGTTAGTAAAATGGATTGAAGTCAACAAAAAATGCGGAAATTTTTGGGACATATAAAAAGCAAATAGTTCCGTGCAAAATCGCTCATCCGGTCTGATTCGGTTCGGTGGCAATTTATTGGGCAAGCCTGTTTAAACTCGTTTAGCTGCAGGTGCTTTGAAGCTGAAGCATTTAGGTCAGACGCTGCACATAACCGCTATATTTTCTCAACGAAAGGGTGCTTAGGCTTCGAATACTTTTGCAACTCGGAAACATGCTGTTTGCTCATTCGTGGAAAAGAATTGACTTCGTAAGCGGTGCGAACAAAACGAGAACAAACATCCTGCCATGTTTTCTTCCGCGGTTTTCTCTGCTTTGCAGCGTATGATGGATCTGCCAGCTTTGCGGCAGCAATATTTGCGCTACTGCGTATGCCACTGGGCTCCTCAGGCTTCTTCTTCGGTATGATTACTTTCGGCTGACAGAATCCCAGTTGCTTGGCGGTGTAACCAACGTAGTTCGGAAACAAGACATCCCGATCCGGAATTCTTGGACTAAATGGTTATCAGTCATTCAGCATAAGCAACAAGTAGTATGTTCAGCAAATTTTCCAGTTACGCTGTTTTTCATGCCAAAGGTTTAAATTTTATAAAAAGCTTGAATTTTCTTATCGAAAAAAATTTACTTTAATGATGCATCTATCTACTGAGAGGATTTGAAGGCAAAGGAGTGACGGATTGCTGCAGTTCTTTGCGCTCATCTTTATCTTCCCGATGTTGAAAATTACAATTATGCGTTTTTGCCAGGCAGCAAAAACGCACATTGCAACGACCCTGTCAGTGTGTGTGTGTGTGTGTGTGTGTGT